GTCATGTTGTGCGGCGTAAGGATAGGCTTTGCAGCCAAACAACGTCGGCTAACAGAAAAAAAGACTATCCGGATGTCGACTTACAACAGGAACCCTCAATATCATGGCTATTTTTCATAGTAGTAGACCAGTCCAGCGGAAGTATATAAAGCTTAATATAAATGGTCAACCTGCATACCTCAAAGTGGATACAGTGGTTGATATCACAGTGATTTCCCGAGAATTATGATGCACGCTTGGTCAGCCAAAAATGTTGAAAACGACACAAGCAGCTATCAGTGCATGCGGCTGTAAGCTTCAACTGTTTGGTCAATCACACTGCTGTATTTCATTTGGAGTTGTTACATTACTGATGTTAATCTCAAACTGTCGGGTATCGAGGGTTTGAAACTCGCCAACCTTTCACAGAATATGGTATGCAACATAGCGGGAGCACACTTAGATGTTCCGAAGAACCCTAACGATATTATTACTGAATAGTAAGATACTTTCAAACTTGGCCTCGGTCACTGTACTACAACCAAAACCGTTCTACGCCTGGAAACAAACCCATCACCTGTTTATCGCGTTAGTAGACCCGTCTCATATGCATCACTATCTCCTGTCGAGGCAAAAACTAAACGAATTCGAAAACAAAGTGTCATTACTCCAGTATATCATTACGCTTGCGCTACACCGATCGTCGTTAAGAAGAAACGTAATGGCACCATCCGACTACGTGCTGACTTTTTGAAACGTTTAATTGTTACATTGTAGCAACATCATTACCGACTGCCTGCTCCAGATTTATTTAGCAGACTGCATTGAAGAGAATATTTCGCAAAACTCGACCTGGAAAATGCTTCCTAAACAGTCAAAGTCTCATCACAATGGAGTGAACTCCTTACCGTCAAGATACATTGAGAACTTTCCTAGATATTCTGTAATAGACTTGTTAATTTGCTAGCGCACATAATGCACAGTGATACAGTGTTATTTACTTGATAACGTTTCAAGCAAAAATTATTCTTCGGAATCATATCAATCTAATCACACTCCTTTCGATATCTACTTTTTATAGTCCTGTCACCTGATATTCTTCGTTTTTAGTGTTAGTAAGATTTTCATTATCTCTGATATTGATGTTGCATCAATCCTGTCACATGTATTGGGTGTAGATTCGATGAATAATGCTTCTGTAATCAATCTCTCTCTCCTCCTAATGATATTCGACTGACTTAAGTACAGTGGTTCTATCCCACCTAGCTCATTGTGTGGTTGAGTGTTTATGCATACATTGCAATTGCTGAGTGTTTGTTCTAGATTACTGATCTTATTGGGATATGTCTTTCTATATTCAGCTATATTCCTTTGTTCGGATATTCTAACTGACTCCGACCGGCTAGTTTGACCTATGTACTTGACCTCACAGTCATTACATGGAATTCCATAGACTACATTATTTCGCTGAATTGCATCTGTCGGACACTTAAGCCGACAAAGCTTATCTCTGAGTGACTTTGTAGGTTTAAATGCCACCCTAATTACAGCTTTGTTGAGAATCCTATGTAAATTTTCTGATCTTCCTTCCTCATATACGCCGGTGACACAATAGAGGCTTTGAACTAATTTCTACTCGTGTTGTCTCCATCATTTCTATTTGTATTACTTTAATTATTTTGTTTCTTATATCTTCCCATGAATTTCTTAATAAACCGCAGAGGATAATTAATAATACTTCTCTTAGATGTTCCAATTTCTTGTTTAAGCCGTTGCAATGACTTGTAAGTTTTTTAGCCCTATCATTTAAACATTGGACTAAACCCATATTAACTGAAGTCTAGATACCTGTTGAGTGTGTTGGTTTTCTGTAGGCAGAAGTATCCAAATCACCGTCTGTTCATCGTTTTATTCCGCAATCCAGCATAAGTAATTTCTCCTGTTCATTTTCTACCTCATAAGTGAATTGGATTGTGTCCAATAATGAGTTTATATGTGTGAGGAAGCCGTCGATATACTGCGATTTCAATATGGTTAATTTATCATCAAAATATTACATCCACCATATCATAGGTGCAGGACTATACGTTCGTAAAGCCATGTATTCCCAATGATCGATAAATATATATACTACGGTTGGGGATACTGGTGATCCTACTGCTACTCTTTCTGTTTGTCGATACATTTTTTCATGAAACTTGAAGACTGTGGATATCAAGCGCAACTGTGAGCCTAACACGACTTCATCAACTGATATCTTAGTTCTTTGAGTAAGTTCTAAGTCATTATTCAGTTGATTTCCAATTGCCCCCAGTCCCATATTGATTAGACTCGCGAAACATAAGAATTTGGCTAAATGTAGAAAGACATATCCCAATAAGATCAGTAATCTAGAGCAAACACTCAGCAGTTGCAATGTATGCATAAACACTCAACCACACAATGAGCTAGGTGGGATAGAACCACTGTACTTAAGTCAGTCGAATATCATTAGGAGGAGAGAGAGATTGATTACAGAAGCATTATTCATCGAATCTACACCCAATACATGTGACAGGATTGATGCAACATCAATATCAGAGATAATGAAAATCTTACTAACACTAAAAACGAAGAATATCAGGTGACAGGACTATAAAAAGTAGATATCGAAAGGAGTGTGATTAGATTGATATGATTCCGAAGAATAATTTTTGCTTGAAACGTTATCAAGTAAATAACACTGTATCACTGTGAGTTATATATCAAATAACCAAATCTGATGTGGAATTACATTTTAACACAGTGCCCAATTTTTACACTTACACTTTTACAGTTCAATCGTTCTCCGTTCGGCATTAAACTGTCCCTACCGTTTTCCAACAGATTATGGATATTATGCTGGCAGGCATTTCAGGTGTTGCTGCATACCTCGATGGTGTCCTGACAGTTGCCACCTGTTCGATGGAATTAACGAATCGAATGCGGTCGGTCCTACAGTAAATCCTAGACAACGGCCTTCTACTCAGTGCAGAAAAATGCCAATTCTTTCTTAAGTGAGTAAAATATTTAGGGTTCATCTATAATGTATCTGATTGACGTCCCGACCTTGAAAACATTCGCGCCATACAGCAGATGACAACTCTAACAGATTTCGCGACTCTAATCACTTCCTTGTCTCATTAGTTACCATTCAGCGTCCCTGCCCTTTCTATGTGATATACGGAAACCTTTGAATCACCTCTTACCCAAGGATTCCGCATGGTTCTGGTCAAGAGAATGTGACACTGCTATAAGATGATTGAAGCCCACTCTCAGCTTTGATCTTCTGTTAACATCTACCAACTTCCACTGCCGGAGATGTTTACATCGCTGGTATTGGGGCCGTCCTATCGCATGAATATCCAGATGGCTCACAACAAGCTGTCATGCACGCATCTCAGTTTTTCACTTAGGCCGGGAAAACGCTCCTCACAGATAGAGACGGAAACACTTGACCTAGTTTTAGCGGTCAGACGATTTCACAAGATGCTATATAGATGGAAATTCACCCTGTACCCTGCTGATGCCAACTGATGGAGTTAAGAAGTAAGCCATAGGCTCAACATCATAACCAAGAAAATTAAAGACGTGAACTTTTAAACTAACTGCTAATCACAAAGTATCCTAACTTACAGTTCACACACGAAACAAGACTTTTAGGCAAACCCCTAAAGATGTATTACCTTCAGATGATATTCGGTATACATTTAGTGGTCATCATAACTGCTGTGCATTGTAGTTGAGTTGAAAAACACAAAGTAAATGTGTTGGCCATGTTCACCAGCCTAATCATTTGAATAGTTACATTAACTCTATTGGTTTGTTGGCAAACTGTAGAACGATACTGATCCGATGCGTTCACTTTGCTACATATTATGCATGCATATCATTGCTTGCCCTCACCTGCAATGATGGTAATTTTAGTGATGCAGTCGCATGACTGTAGTTCGTCAAACAAAAACAGGTCATTAGTTCAAAAAACCAGTGACTGCTGTCTTTCTCATTAAGTTCCTCAGAGTGTATTAACTCGGTGGCTGGGAACAGTTAGTGACATAACTCTCAATGAATCATAGTGATGCAAAAGCATTCACTTTTTATCTACTACCGAAACTTGGTTAACCTTATTTCTCCACACCTGATGAATTTATACCGATTCGTACACTTTTTAAGATTTTCAATAAATACTTACTTGTATCAGTTTTATTTTAGTGTCCTTCTGTGAAGTATAGCAATATTAATCGATACATAGTTGTATAATTTTCTATATTGCTGTTCATATTCACAATCAGAATACGTCCCTAACCCACATAAATGTGATTGGTTAAAGTTATTTCTTATGGCATGTAAAACAGTTTACTGTCGTTAACCAAGTAACTTAACCTCAGAGTTTCGTGAACAAACCTACAAATCAGTATTGCATGAAGAGTGACATCAGCAAAATACCTGAACATGCTGTTTTTACTCTTTAACTAACAAATAAAAAGTCAACAATATGCGCATGCAAATTAATTTTTTTAAAAATTTCTGCTGTGCTAAAATTTCTATTCAACAAATTACTTTTAACTTTGTTCTTATGGCTATATTAGCGGTGCTACATTTTATGTATCTGTAATCACTGTGACAACCATTCACTCATCAAGACTAGTGTGATCTACCTGCTTAATTGTAAAGGCAGATGAACAGTCGATACACACTGTCTTACTCTTCTGTCGGCATACATGGTGTGGAGAAAATTAATATTTAAACATCTTCCATGTCAGCGTACGTGAAGTCGATCAGAATATTTTTACGTGGAAGTTTGTTTCATTATGTATCAATGTATACTGAACTCCAGAAAAGTATATACAGTAAAGGTAGATGGAAATGAAAAATGTACGAAGCAGTGACTAATATCATGGTGATTAAACTGACATAAAGCAAAAAAGTCACAAAGTTACTATTAACTGTCAGGACAATAATAAAAGCAATTGAAATAAAGAAATAATTCAAAACTAACGTACATGGAGGTCCTTCATAAAATATTGAAAAACAGTTGACTAGTACTACTGTGCCAAAAAATCCTGGGAGCAGTTTAAGAGCAGGTTCAAGGGGATCATCCTGTAAATTGTATAAATCAAAAAAAGAAAATAATAATCATGACAAATTATTCATATACGCAAGATTTAAAAAAAAACAACGACAATTTAAGTTCAAACGTTCAGTCGGATGTGTATTTGGGTATATGCTGCCGTGATTCATTGTTGTGGCTTTTTTATATTTCACATACAAGTCAGAAAATAGATTAACTTCAAATCATCAGTCGCATAGTACCTCAGATAAAATGACCCAACAAATATGTATCATGATTCACTTCTATGCATGCCAGTATTACATGGACCATAATAACAAGCAGCATAACACAGCGTTTAACTTGATAAACATATGGGGTTATTTAAAACCCATATAAAATGAATTCACTCGTATAAAACGAAAAGTCAACTGAACTACTAGAGCTTTTATACACACATGAACATATGGTCAAGGATAAGTTTACTTTTAATTATTATCATACATAAGGAAGTAATGCAATATCTGTATATTGCGGGGAACTTGGTCTATTGTTATGTCTGATTTAAGATATCCTGGACAAACTCTTTCACTTTCTACCACAACCAAACAGCAATTTAAGAAATGATTTCAGAAAGATCGATATGTCACTACAGTAGATTATTTCCATGATGCATCAATGTCAGTGTTTGTTGTCCAGTGTTCCCACTCAACGTAATTCTTACTTTAAAGATATTTCAAAGAAGATATTAACAGTTCATTATGATATTATATTTCAAATATATCCGTCAAGTAATCAAAAGACAAACAAGAAGCGACTGTGTATATACAAGAAGTGAATTACCACGAATCTAAACAACTACCTTTTTACAGGATTATTTAAGATCACGAAATATCAAAATCATGAGCTCGAAACCTATAAATCACCTATTGCAGATGATATGGGTCAGAAGCTATTACGACGGCCGACATGCATCTATACATCTACATTTTTATCTTAATCTTCACGTCAAATAACATTATTTGTTTCATGTCATATTTTAATGACTTATTTCGACTTCTGACTATACATTTTTCCTGGTTTACTTTTATCTTACCGGCAGCCATCTGTATATACTAATATGACTCATGACGACTTGGAGTGTTTCACAGTATCACCAGAAGTCAGGTTGACATTAACTGGTTGAGATCGCTAAAAGACCGTGGGGTCAAAAATGCTTAAAGATGAAGTAAGTAACTCAACAAATATATACAGGTCCGTGCTTTGGCTGAGCCCTAAATATCATGAGACGTCTGATAGCTCTACCTGGTTGTCCACACTTCAGTGGGTCACGTTTCGAGTACCTGTAACCAACAAGGTTGAAAGATGAATGCTTACTCTAATGATTCGTAACTTCAATCTACAGACACAACATTGACAGAGGTCGAAAAACTCCGCCACACTAGGTGGAAACTTATTTAAAACAAAAATAAGAAACTGGTTTCTGAAAATAAAAAATGAGATTATGTGCAAACAAGACGAAACTCAAAATCACACTGCATAACACTGGCTACCTTCCTTTGAACAGTGAAAATGAAAAAATAACTTCACCCATACTTTTGTGAGTCCCTCTAGCTTTTAGCGAACAGGTAATAAATGAAGCAGAAAGCTGTTCATTCAATAAGTTGTGGAGAAATTTTGAGACGAAGGAAAGAAATTAAAACAAGCTTTATGCAGATACTATTACTGCCATTACCATTAGTGTCGAAATAAATGCATAGGTAAATATTATGAATGTACTGAGGAATTTGATACCTACTGCAGAACCGAAAACCAAAAAATCCATTCAGATAGCTTCCGCATATCCGTACGATAGGCAGTGAGCTACAGCTAGTGTGTGAGGGCTGATTATACTAGCTGGTTATCCAAACCTCGGTAGGCGAAGTGGTGTTCGAACCCGTGATCCACTGGTTCAAAGTCATCTCTCTAAGCCAATGAGCCACAGCCCCACTATTGTAGAGATGTAAAATTGATTTCAGCTTTTATTGTGACTTCTACTTATTCTTGATTGCACTTCAAATGTATTTTATACTATGCGTTCAGAATAATATACAGGTGTGTTTTAAAATGCTTTTTAATAAATACCCACTAAAACAAGAAGTCGTATTTTAAACACACAAATATAGTTGAATTTATGAAAAACCAGTTTCCTCAAAATTTAGATGTAGAATTGTTTCATCACTAGCAATACACAACATGATTGTGCCAATACCTAGGTGTAAGTCAGTGGAGGATAGTAAAAGTCACTGGGATCGTAGTATAGCCAGCAGACTGAAGGAAATTAAGAGGAACTATGAGTTCCGGATCTCAGTCCTACCAGACACGAAATACTAACACAAAATTGATTTCTTTTACTAGAGAGGTAAAAATACAAAAATGGATGGGTGGCATCGAGAAAAATACAAATTTGCTTAGTTAACTACATCCCATAGTAGTATTCGTTTTTGGAAAAATTTGTCTTCATATTGCAAAATAAGAAAAAAACCTACACACTAAGAATTTATCCAAAAATGTATGAAAGTAGTTACGAAGAGATTAGCAAAACAATGCTCCATGAAATCGAAAGCATGATGAGCAAAATATTTTAACTGTTTGCATTCTCTTATAAGATCGGATACCGAAAGTCAACAAATAAACAAGATTTTAATGTTAAACGTGACAAGCAGTATCATGCGGTTGCATGGTAAGTTTTTTTAGATTCTAGACTAACAGGTAAATAATGAGCTTGAAAAGACTGGAGAAACGGTCAAATACAGCAGCGGTTTCACTGATAATTATTGTTGCCTCTGACATATAGTGGTGATAACTCAAAACAAACATGTTCACATCTTCATTATATGTAGTTGATAAGTTTAGTCACCTAACTTCCAAATCATAGTTCACGAATTAAAACACCGCGTCAGCTACTTAGATCTAAGGAAGTGGGTAGTGAAATGGTTCCCCAAATAACAGATGTGGCTCATAGTTAAGAATGTGAAACCTGTGCCAATTTGAGTTGCATTAATTTTCCATATAGTTAATACCCTTGAAGAAAGTGATATAGTATTACGGTAGGTAATGGGACTCAATGAACTGTTTCATCATTGAATATCCCCTCGTACACCAAAAGGTATTCGAACCTAAATGCTTCGTCAATCCTAAAATTAAGAGACTCATGCACAGAATGAATAAATAGGAGTCTGTGAAGAAGTCAGGTGTTTACATACAGAGCAAGACAAAAAATTCCCAGCCGATAATTCCAGTGCATTTTCTACTCACAACTATAAAGATAAACAAAGCACTAAAGATAGTTTGATACCTGTTATGAGACAGTAATAGATCAAGTATAAGGTTCAGTGTAATACCTAACTAACGAATCAGTGCACTCGACCAACGTATTTGCGTCACACAAGTAAACAGAATTAAGGCATTTAGAGGCTGAGTGACACCAGAAAAATAAAATAACGTATGAAAGGTGTCCAAATGATTAGTAACGAGACCACACAAACAGATAACTTTGGTAGGAACTTCCTTGAGGGAATATTAAAACTGAGATACTGCAGATTATATAGCAGCTACTTAAAGAAATAGATAACTAGATATTGATTTTGGCATGTTTAGTAAGTTGTACAACTGGATGTTATTCAAAAGCAAAACACTTAATAGACTTGACTTTTCTGCAACTACGAATCTGTGGCGTCAAATCGCACCCAGTTGATGTTACCCTAATATGCTCTTTAAGTCTGCTGATTAGTAAAAGTGTTGTCCAATAGTAAACAATACTGTTTCACTGCATGACCTATCTAATAAACATACTAAAATGGGATAACAACCAACCGCAAAGTCCAAATTTTAATCCTATATTTCGCCCTAATATGATACGAATCCTAAAATGATTCTTCCTTTGTTTAACGTTAGTTAGCATCTTTCAATCTTACGGCTGTATTGATAGTAGATGTGACAACTAATAGCTAGTAAGGTATTTCTTGGTTGACGGCATAGCCAAACGATCGGCATGATAAAACTAGGTAGTTACGATTTTTCATTCATATAACAATTCAACTCAACATTGGAGGATTGACCGGGACTAAAAGCTAGTCACACTTTATTTTCAAATATTCAGAAAACAGTAAAATAGGCTTAAAACTCTAAGGTAGAGAATTAATATCTATCCATGAACTTCGTTATAGAACACGTATTCACTTGGTATTTTCTTATGATGACACAAGCATGAGACCAATCAGCTGTAGAAATAAAATGTGGTGTTCAATGTTTCGTGCCAATCGACAGGAAGCCCTAGACCTACGTCTAGTGCTTGTTGGCACTTATCAACAAGACGTAGTGAATGAAATGAAGAATAAATAAAATGGAGACTAATCAGATGCTATGAGTAAGAGAACACCTATTTGTTGGAACGAACTAATTGGAAATGCCGTATTAGGAAGTAACGCATTGAGATGACAGTAACTCTACACAAGATCAAATTATTATCTCTTACTTGTTCTGGCATGAATTTACTTATTAACTTATGACCTGGATAAATAACTAATACAAAATTTTAAGTTGGTGCATCGGTTTATTTCAGGAACTCGGTGAAAGTCATCTAATGATACTTCTATAAGAGCTGCTACTCCTTAGCTAAGACTAAATTTAACCCATTCTATCAGAAAATAAATGTTTTATAAGTCAACAAAAGTATGCTGTATACAAAGATTCCGTGAACGAAGTATCAATTAATTTTCTAGAGTACATAAATATAATAGATACATGTGAACAGAATGTTTTGTGGATGACATTTCAGATAGCCTTTTGGATAACCTAAATATGAACATGTCACAATCCTCAACAACTTCATACTTATGACTACTGCTTTAAAAGTGATAAGCAGAATACATGGTCGTGCTTACTTTTGCTGGTTTTATAAATTATTATAAGTCGATGTTCTCAATCTGTGTTTGATTGCCTAGGCTGTTTTGAGTGTGTAATATTTTGTCTCGTCTACAAGCATGTGAATAAGTCACATGTGAAATTA